CACGATGGCACACAAGAAAGCTTTCGAGGCTTCAGATCGCACTTTGCGAGATTTGAGGGAAAGCGATAGAATTATGGAAGGTCTAACAGTTCTTTTGGCGGGCAATTTTTGTCAAACGTTACCCATTATCCCGAAAGAAACACCAGCGGATGAACTAAACGCTTGCCTTAAGTGTTCGGTCCTGTGGGCGCATGCGCAGAAGCTGACATTGAAAACAAATATGCGAGTACATTTTCTCGGAGATACCGCCGCGAGAGAATTCGCCAGGCAACTTCTCTGCCTTGGAGACGGCAAGATTCATGCGGACCCATCCACTGATTTGATAACGTTTCCTCCGAGACTCTACAGTATGGCGCCGTTTGTTAATGAACTTAGAGAAAAGGTATTCCCAAATATTCTTAGCAATTTTTAACGCCACGTTTGGCTCTGTGAGCGAGCTATCCTGGCACCAAGGAATGAGTGTGTAAACTCCATGAATCTCAACATACAGGACAGTGTTTCTGGCTCCGTCATAATCTACAAGTCCATTGACAGCGTCGTTGATCAGGATAATGCTGTCAATTTTCCTGTGGAATTTCTGAACTCCCTTGAGCCTCCCGGATTTCCGACTCATGAACTCAAGTTGAAAAGTTGGATCTACAATAATGCTTTTGCGTAACATTGAGCCACCAAAACTATGTAACGGCACAAGACTATGGATCAAAGAACTCATGCCTCACGTTATCGAAGCGGTTGTCTTAAGTGGCACATTTCAAGGAGAAACCGCGTTAAAGTCTGCAGTTGCCAGTAAAACTATCCTTTGCCATGACAATCAACAAAGCGCAAGGGCAACCATTGAATGAAGCAGGTGTAAAACTAGAAAGTCCATGCTTCTCTCAGGTCAACTATACGTGGCCTGCTCAAGAGTTGGATCACCCAAGAGTTGGTAATGTACAGCAAGGGGGTGCCAAAACATTGTATATCAAAGAGTATTATCTTGAATTGGTCTTCTAGTTTCAAAAAGGCAAGTTCAATTTCCTACTTAGTATTGAACATAATTCATTCGGAAATATTGTAGGACGTTTAGCAAGATTTGTTGCACTGAAGAACAAGAATCTAAAATTAGAATCCAGTCACACAAATCCATGTCTTTTATCCCATTCCTAAGCAAATAACTCTTTTTATCAAATATTCAGAATAAAAAGTTCTTAAAAAACTAAGCTGTTATTTAGTAACAAACAGTTCCATAAGCAAAGTGTAACAACCAACTCGGTAAAGTTCGGATTGACTCTCTAGAATTGGCCGGGCAAAGCCGGGTATATCGGCTAGTATGTCACACTACTCAATGTCTGTGAGAATGCGTTTGGTTGTGCTAACCGTTGCGATTTAGTGAAACTTTGCGTTCATATGTTTTCGACCCCGGCGAGTGTTTATGGCTATTTTTTGCGGCGACTCGCGGGGCCATTCCATTGATTTATTGATTTCAAACGTTTGCAATGAAAATGGATGCCTACCGACCGCTATCAAACCGCTTGCACATTTTGGGGTAAGCAATAGCAAAGAAGCTCATTCTCATTTCTCGGTCAGGAGAATGCGGTACTTCCAAAGGATGCTGCTTTGAGATAGGCATTTGCAACTAACAAGGGAACCGTGTCGAGTCGAAGTGGCCTTTCCAGATGAGACTACTGCCTTGAAGAGTATTAAGCGGTGATTCCAAATCTGCCTTCCAAATCTGCCAAGCGCCTCTGGACGCCGAGTTATGACCGTTCTTCGGAACGAAAAATGAATGCAGAATTTAGGTAAAATTGATTGTTACAATCTTTCCAGCGCTCAGATAAAGCAATGTTAAGTATTAGCATATTAAAAAATGTATCCATTGCATAAACAGCTTTGATACTTGACACTGGATCATTTGAGCAAATTTGGGCGATTTTGCTTCAGTTTTGCGTTCAATTTTTTGACCTGAAAAACGAGCATAACTCGGCGTCCAGAGGCGCTTGGCAGATTCGGAAAGCAGATTTGGAATCACCGATTAATGCTCTTCAAAGCAGTATGGGTCTCACCTAGAAAGGCCACTTCGACTTGACACGGTTTCCTTGTAAGATGTCCGTGCCGGTGGGTATCTGCCGGATCGGCGAAAGAGGGGGGAAGGAGGGCAGGAATGATGCAAATGCCAGCGGAATGAGAGATGGGTAGGCGAAGGCTATTTAAGCAGAACACATTTTTCATGCGCTTTCCTCGTTTTTCTTCTGGGTCTGTAGCTCATGAACCGGACAAGACGGGGTATGCCAGCTATTCTAGGAGATTAATTTAATTGTTGCATCCTTTTAAATTGCCGATGGAATAGGGCTGAGCAACGGTGTAACAGACAGAAACAATTTTTGTTTGCATGGAACGGTTCAACATCCACCACAGCTATTCAAGCTCACCTGAGGATTTTGGACTCTTTGGATTTTTATTTCACAAAAATTTTCATAATTAGCCCTGAGACTTTCTGCAAATAAGGAGGACAGATGGGATTAACTCGTGAAGCGGTTTGATGTACATATTTGATCTGGGACAGCTTAGTTTTAGGCTCCCTCCGTCGGTAAGGCTAGCTGGGATACCTGGTTTACCCGGTTCCTGCTAACATACAGTGCTGGCCACAGCTATAAAGCCACCCTAAAAATCACTGTAATTTGCTCTCTCTTGCTCCAAATTGTCCAAAAAACCACTATTCTGTGTGCAAACTAACGTCATATCATTGACCAGAACGGCTCCCGATTTCATTGATTTGGCCGAGGAAAAATTGAAAAATTTGAAAAAAGGGGTTCCCAAGGCTGGTTACAGCTATGAAGCCACCTCTCATTTCCAATCAGTACTACGTTTTTTAAGGCTGAAATTTTTTGTACATACACAATATCAAAATATAAAACATTTACCACCCTTGGAAGCAGTTGCCTTTTTAAAAAGAGATTCATCCTGCATTTTCTGCTTCAAAATGTATGAAAAGTTATAATGTTTGGAAAAACTGCCTTTTCAGCGAATTCTCAAGCATTTGTTTGACTTGAATGAAGGTCTTAGGCTTTGTCGAGCCTTTGCAATGAGTATGATGAAAAGCGCAGGAATCAACATGGCGTAGTCGCTGGTATTGATGAACGAAGCTCCATCTTACTTAGGTGTAAACGCACTCCTGAAACGCAAATCTCGATTTCTGACGCGCGAAAATTTTCGGTTGGAAGTTGACACTTTGTTTATGGTGACGTACTCATGCAGAAGCTGTCAGGCTTTCTACAAAGACGTATTTGCAGCAATGAACCTAAAACGCCTTGTTTGCAGTTCGCTTGTGCGCAGTGTATCTCACATGAGCTCAGATTTTATTGCTTTGAACTCCTCTTCAAGTCAAATCTTACAAAACTGTCAGGAATACTAGAATTTTGAAGTTCTGAGCGGTTTTCTGCTGGATCGAGAGGTCAGAGTGTGCACATGGGCGGAGTGCACCACTTATTTTCGAAAAAAAGGTGTTTAAGGCGGAACCAAAATCCTGAGAGTTGCGATGACGTCCAAGCTATGCGCGCGAATCTATCGTTGTACAGGCGACGTGCTGAGCACGTGACAGAACTTTTCGGGCATTAGAACGCAATTTCTGCGGTTCGAAAACTCGTCTACCTGGAGATGAGGTTGGGGCTCGTTTATCAATATCAGCGACTGCGCCATGTTGACTCCAGCGCTTTTCACCATATTCATTGCAAAGGCTCGACGAAGCCTAGGACCTTCATTCAAGTTAAACAAATGCTTGAAAATTCGCTGAAAAGGCAGTTTTTCCAAACATTATAACTTTTTATACATTTTGAAGCAGAAAATGCAGGATGAATCTTCTTTTTTAAAAAGCGACTGCTTCCAAGTGTGGTAAATGTTTTATATTTTGATACTGTATATGTACAAAAAATTTCAGCCTCAAAAAACGTAGTACTGATTGGAAATAAGAGGTGGCTTTATAGCTGTGACCAGCCTTGAGAACCCTTTTTTTCGAATTTTTCAATTTTTCTCCGGCCAAAACCAATGAAATTGAGAGCCGTCCTGGTCAATGATATGACGTTAGTTTGCACGCAGGATAGTGCTTTTCAGACAATTTCGAACAAGAGAGGGCAAATTACAGTGATTTTTAAAGTGGCTTTATAGCTATGGCCAGCACTGTATCACGATAAAGCTGAACATTCCGTGCCATTTACGAGATTTCTCTTTTCTCACTTCTATGTGTCAGTCAACAGCCGCGCTGTACTTCCATTGAGCATGCTCAGTTACCTCTCTTTCATCTCCCTAATTCGGCGATATAAGATATGCAATATGGTTGTTTTCATAGTTTACGATATAATGGAAATGCACCAGATAGTTACCTTCATAATTACTTTTTTTCATTTACAAGTCAAATGTTTTTGAAACTTGCTAATCCATTCGTGACCGTACCTACGAAATAGCTCAAACAGTGAATCCTAGTTGGACTGTTGACAATAAAAGAAGCCATGTCTGCTAGATCGCTTCTTTGATAGCTGCTTTCGAGCGAAAACCATGAATTGCTGAGATACTAATCAATAATGGCTTTCTTAGAAATGATCTTTTATTAACAAATCAAAAACTTAATTTTATTGTCAATGATACCCCCTAACCTAAACAAATCATGGCTAAGTTCGAAGTCCGAAGTTGGCTCAAAAAGTACTTGATGCTGAGCCAGAACTTCTCGGGAAGAGAGTTATCAATGACTAAAAGTGTGTACTCAGGTTTGGGACGCTTTATAGACTTAGGTATTGAATCATTTCGAGCTTGACTCAAGTTTGTCTTAGTCCTACTCTTAAGAAATCAGCAAAACGGAGGAAAACAAATTTGTCAGAAAACAATATAGTTAGTTTGCTTATCATTCTACATGTTAATATATCCGCATAGATTTTACAGCTTCCAAAAGTGGTTTGATTGTCTAGCGTTTTCAAACAAATGGTGGGATGACTTTAAAAGATTGAGTTGAATGTCTAAGTGACGTGAAAATTGTGCAAACTCTTTATTTCGAAAAATAATTCTCATTTGTTTGAAAATTTGGATATAGTAGCATTTACGTTTCTAGCGTTTCTGTTCTGCTCCTAAATGCCAAGCCGCGTGATATCTATGTAGGAAGTATCTCATACCTGTCTTTCTAGGACTTTTTGGTCGATTTCGTTGCGATTGTGTTTGGATTTTCCATGAAAAATGTCAGCCCTTCAGTGTGTGGTTTTAACGTGGCCGATATGAGCATCCAGAATCCAAAAGCGCATATGGCTATCATCATACTGATAAGTGTGCATGCACTGCATGTAAGAAAACACTAAATAGAAAGAGGGTAAAAATTTTTGTAAGTCAAAATCTCAAAGGAGATAGTGCCTCACCGAATTGACATTATTCCAAAATTCTTCAAATTCTTTGTCGCCTGAAGAGCCACAAAAGTATTAGGTTGTCCGGAAATTAAAGCCCATTTTGAATTTCAACGGCAATAAATCATAAACTTATCACTTTTGAATAGATTGCAAAGTACCATTCGATAGAGCAAATTAAGCTCTAAGATGGCGATCTTTTGCAACAGCTTTCATCCACCTCGAGTTTCGAGCCAAAAACTAAGGGCCGCATGCACTAACCTCCCCGCTGGGGAGGGGATCACAGCTTAAAGAAAGCTTTATATTCCGAAACTCTAGATATCTGGATTTCACATCGTGTACCTATCCGTAAGTATTCCTACTACCCTTCACTATGAACATGTTGAACAGAATCGAGAAGCTGTACGAACCGCATTTTCCAGCTTTTGTATGATCCCTGATGCTCCCCGGCGCTTTTCTTTGAAGTCATTTTTCTCTCTCCGAAGTTAACGAAAACCTTCCAAAGTTGTACTGAACATCTAACACAACAGTGCTAAGCATGTTGCTGATGAGAACAAATGAATTTTTGAAAAGTCGAATTTTTCGGTAAACCTCAAATTTCGACCTGTGGATCATCGAAAACTTCAAGACTTCAGAACATCATTTGTTCTTATCAGCAACATGCTTAGCACTGTCGGTTTAGATATTCCGCACAACTTTGGACGTTTTTGGTTAACTTCGGAGAAAGAAAAATGACTTTGAAGAAAAGCGTCGGGGATCATCAGGGATCATACAAAAGCTGGAAAATGCTGTTCGTACAGCTTCTCGCTCCTCTTCAACATGTTCATAGTGAGGAGTAGTAAAAATACTGACGGATAGGTACACAACGTGAAATTCAGGTATCTGGAGTTTCGAAATATAAAGCTTTCTTTTGAGCTGCGATCCCCTCCCCGCGGGGATGTTAGTGCAAGCGGTCCTAAAAAGACTCAGCTGCCCGAAAAAAATTGTCTCACTTGAAAAAGATCCTACAAAAATTCTTACCTACTCATGTAAACAGTATCCACATAAGACATCTATATACGTCTTTGCCTTATTTTTTCCTCTGTTAGAAACCAAGAAAACGGAAATTTTAGTGTATTTGCCAAAGTGATGCTGTGCCGTCCCCACATAAGTAGTTGTATACCACAAGGGGTATATGTCAAGAATAACGATAGCTGGCAATAGTGGCATCCTGAGTGCCCGGGTGTCAATAAACCGTATACAGTTAGCACCGTCCCATCAGCGGACGAGTTCACCAGGCACTGCAATTTAAGCAGTAAATGCCCTAAGTGTTGTTCTTCTTTACTTATGCTTTATGTTGAGACTTGTGCTATTTTCTAAAAATGAAAATAATCAGCAATCACATCGCTATAAACCTGTGATAGAAATGTTTTAAGCTCAACTTAGATGTGAAATATGCAGGCTTCTATGATTGATATAGTGAACGAACTTCAATGAGAAAAATTGAAGTTTAAATCATTTTTCTCAATTTTATAAATGATTGACGGCGGGCTGTTCTGCGCGCGCGAGCAGCTGGCAGCTAGCGGCTGGCAGAGCTATCGTTATTCTTGACCGCCACCCTACCACAAGCCTTCAGAAGTACAGGCTTAAATGTTCAGCTTTCTACAAGCTCTAGTTCTCGAGAGATATCGAATATAGTTTCTTAAGTCAGTTAGTCCAAGCTAAAATGCAAATTTCTCGAGAAGTAAAGACTGTATAGAGCTGAGAGACTACGTTTGTACTTCTACAGGTTTGTGGCATACAACTACCTATGTGGGGACGGCACAGCACTACTTTGGCAAATGCACGAAATTTTTCGCTTTCTTGGTTTCTAACAAAGGGAAAAATACTGCAAAGGATATATAGATGCCTTATTTGGGCACTGTTTACATGAGCAAGTAAGAATTTTTGTAGGTTTTTTCAACTGACAAGGAGAGGATACCTAGTCGAGAGCATCAATCCAAAGGAAGTATGAAAGCGCTTGAAACGCTGATTCCAAATACAGGGTGTCCCAAAAAAATGTTTAGAACGTTTGATCGTTAATATCTCCCTTCCCAAGAAGTCTTTTGCCTTGCTTCAGGTACCGTTTTGTAAAGCTGGCTTCAACTTAGATTTGCATTGTAGAACGAATCACTCATCCCTCTTCATTACTGTAGGATTACGGTAGGAACTTGAAAGGGGGTTTTGAACCATGAAAGGCCATATTTTGCCTCAGAAAGGAAACCAAACAGCCTGAAAACTTGTACACCAGGCTAATTAGAATTGCTGATTATAACTGTAAAGTTCCCAACTTATTATGATGCTACATTGAAGAATTATGCCAGGTGAGAGTAGCGGCCTTTTTTTCAATGTTCCTGAAAAGTGCGATTACACCGTTTTGAAAGCTTCGTAATCTTGTGAATAGTTGAGTATTGAACTCAGCGTCTATAAAAACCCTATTACACAAGTTTTCACAATTTTTTGAAAAATTTTGAAACGGCAGCTTTTTCCACATTGACACCATATGTTTCAAGTTTCTACCGTAATCCTACAGTAATGAAGAGAGATGGGTGATTCATTCTATAATGGAAATCTAAGTTGAAGCCAGCTCTACAAAACGGTACCTGAAGCAAGGCAAAAGACTTCTTGGGAAGAGAGATATTAACGATCAAACGTTCTAAACATTTTTTAGGACACCCTGTATATAGTTTTTAGCTGCGGAACGGTTTTGTAGAAATAGTTATGAGGGGTGTTTCCCTCCGGGGTTAAGGCGCCCTTCAAATATCGTCCGTTGTCTACGAGCATTATGGAAACACAAAATGGTGTACTGGTAATTAATCTGAATGAAGATCACAATAATGATTATAATACTCATATTACTTTTGTTTTTTTTAACACTTCTAACTTCGACATCAATATCATCAGAAATGTCAGATTTTAGGGCCCCAAAGCCACTTAGAAATTCAATATTGCAAAAATTGCGATAAAGTTGCACGCAAAGGGATTAAAATCCTGACACTTTCCCTATCAAGCAAGTCACTTACCATTAGGCCAGTTACCACCATTTGGCACTCCTCTACAGTACTCATAGATAAGGGGAGACCTGCTGGAGGGCGCCTCAACCCCAGATGGGAACATCCCTCTTCCCTGTTCACAAAACCATTCCGCAGCTAGAAATTATAGATTTGAAATCAGCGTTTCAAGCGCTTTAAGAAGATATATGTTTCATTTGAATTGGTGCTTTCGACTAGGTATCCTCTCCTTGTGAGTTACGATTTTTCTCGATTTTTAAGTAGTCGGATACTTTCAGTTATCGGCTTAAACTCGCGGGGGATGAGAGTTGTTGCAAAAGCAAGATGGCGATCTTGTGGAGCTTGCTTTTTCTATCGAATGATACTTTGCAATCTATTTAAAAGTGAGAAGTTTATGATTTATTGCGGTTGAAAATCGAAACGGGTATCAATTTCCGGTCAATCTAATGTAGTAAACCCTTAAAACAGCGCGGCATAGTGAAGTCGTGACGGTTAAAACATCTTACACATTGGAAGTTCAATGTACATGTAGTTTGATGGCTAATGCAGAAATTCTTGAAGGGCGCGAGTGGCGAGATAAATACCCATAGCTTTTCATTTCAATTTGGACGAGTGGCAGTTTCCGCCAATAGTTGGCTATAACATTGGCGGAAGCACTTTCAAATGATGAAAGAAATGGCCGCGCGCACAAAACTAGTTTACTTGTTTAAGCGAACTTTTCTGCAGGGAAAGCCTGCTGTGCGACCGGACGTTCAGTTTTGTCGCGCCCTCCCTGTCCGTTAGATCAAATCTTAAATACAGTGGGAGGTTTGGTTGTTTTTATCAAATGGGAAGCTAAATGAGAAGGGTGCTGAAATTATGAATTCATGATACTTGCTTGACACAGAGCTTAAGGCTCAATTAGTTTCTTATTTTACTAAACAATCCTTGGACGTGTGCGATGAAATGTGATGCGCCTTCGGAGGTACGACGTTGCAGCTTAATTGAGACAATTTTGGCAGCAAATGTTATAATAAGTTGAGTGTTATCAGGTGTAAACAATGCTATATCCTATCTATGGCGTTGAGCTGAGCTTTGAGTGAAGGTTTGCGAAGGTGGGATTACATCTACAAACTTATAAGAGCTTAGCTTATGACTTTATGAGAATGCTCGCCAACATCAAGAAAAACAAGCTATAATGCTACAATTTGCCAATTACAGTATTCCTTTCTTCGAAATTTCACTTCAGCGCCAACCACTGCGCGAGCAATTGACTCAGGCTCCACTGCGCCAAATGGTTTTGAAGTGCATTTCAAAGGACCGGCGAGTGAGAGTCAGATGGCCGGTGAACGGCTCGCAATCCAGATAATCGCCGGGAGCAGACGGCCATGCGATTTTTGGGCAAGCAGGCACCGGAATAATAGTTCGCTGTTCGCTTGCAGAAATTTGGAAGAATGTTGTTTTTGAACGAATGCTCGGAGAGCGACTGCGGTTTTCCATAGATTTTGCGGCGCAGTGGCAGCATTCTCGCGCACTTTTGCGAGAATATGCAGACTTATTGAAGGCCGCACGGTCCTTTGTGGAGGACGCGCAGCCCGTGTGTACCTCCCGCTGAGAGAAAAGTACTCCAGACCCGGGTAATCAAACCACCGATGACACCTCTGCCACACAGAGTCTTACCTTTGCTCGGCGTACGCCCTAAACTGCGTAAAAAGAGTCCGGCGTCACCAGCGCTTGCTGAAAAAAATAATTCGACGAGTGCTTGCAAAAAATTTTGTATTGCTGCCCGCTGGCAAAACACGGAAGTACCGCCCGCTGAAGATTTGCCCACGCCCCAAATTTTTGCTGACCGCTTGCAGAGAAGCGCGAGTTTGCGGACCGCCTGCCCCCGGCGATTATCTGAGCAGTCTATCTTTTCTCATCATCTCTTTTCCCTTAAAAGTATTCGAAAACGAGCAAGATTCACCCTTACAAGCATTTATTCTCATACTATTTACTGCTGGCACATTTTGATAGTTATTATTTTTGATTATTGTTGCTATATTTTTTTGATAGTCTTTTTATCATATATTCTGAGGGAAGCAAACGGTTTGATTACTCAACTTTGAGGTGTTGGTGTGATGATCTCGATATACAAGCTCGCGTGGCAATCGGTCGTGACAAAAATTAGTGATATTCAAAACCTTATCGTTAAGGCAACTCTCGACCACTAATCACCACAAGCGTTTCTCAGCTAACGAAGACAAATCTTGCGTCAACTTTTACATTGTTTCATTTGTATCGGGTAAGGAAAACTAGCAATTAGCTAAGTAGCTTTATACATGCATGCAGCTGTCACGGGCTATGCTATATAGAGGCGCGTATATAGATTTATCCTACTACAATAGGGCGCTAAGAGTGTTCAAGTGTTTTTGTGTGTCTGTGTTTGTGCGAGTGTCTGTCTGTCACGAAATTCGCGCGAGTTCCAGCCAACCTCTTGGGCTCAAATTTTGCGCAGTGCATGCTATCCGCCTGTAAGTCCAACACGCAAAAGCACGAGCAGATTCGTTGAGTGGATCCCTCAGAAACTGCGCGTCAAACGGATCCACTTTGCATTTGGGCCGCAAAATTAGGTCCGTAATTCCACTTTTTGTAGAGTCGTGGATGTTTATGCCAAGTAAATGTGCAAGCCATGAACTTAAGCCCAAAAAGGTGATCAAAAGTCCATTATCTTACAAGAACGGCGCCAAAAAGAGTTAGTTGCGTAAATGTTCGTTTTGCCAAGATTTCACCTGATCATTTGAGAAGATTTTTGCACAGAGATGTAGCCCATGATATTTATTGTCCTTACGGCAACTACCAAGCCATAAAAATTCCAAAAACCTACTCAAATTTGCATCTGTTCTTCCGGAAAAAATTTCATTCAGGCGAAAGTACCGATCTCACAGGAAAAACCTCTAAGGATGAGTAGTTGTTTACAAATTATTCGTGATAGCTTACATAACGCGGTGAGTTTCAATGCCATTATTATGCGGAAATGAGCAAGGCATACAGAAATAGGGCCAATGCGAGCCTCTGCGAAGCAGAGGTGACGCAATGATATATATTATACAATTTTATGCACTATATATGCATATGGACGGATGGATCGATCAATGGACAACTTGATGGATGGATAAATGGATGGACTGGTGCATCATGTACCGAAAATGCCTGCCAAGCAGTACTTTATAACACTTCGTATTTTGAACACAATATATACTAATTCTGCTGGTCGCTGTGAATGTGTTCGAAACTCCTGATAATGTATAGGAAATCCACTCATACTTTCTAAATCCTAATTCTCAATCAACACCATCGCCTCTACATTATGTATCTACATCATCATCGAACGCATCCGACATCTTTCCCAGATTTCACTTATTCAACAACGTTGGCCTTTATTGCCAGCCCATGAGCTTTACCATTTACCGAAATTCATAACTTATGATACGGGCTAAGGGTGTTTACGTGACTTTGTGTGTGTGTGTGTGTGTGTGTGTGTGTGTGTGTGTGTGTGTGTGTGTGTGTGTGTGTGTGTGTGTGTGTGTGTCTGTGACGAAATTCATACAGCGGGTTCCAGCCAACATCCAAGGCTCAAATTTTTCATAGCGCGTGCTACCAACGTAGAACTCCACCATGCAAAAGCACGAACGGATTCGCTGGGTGGGTCTCTCAGAATTTGCGCGTCAAAAGGATCCACTTGGCTTCTGGCCCGCAAAATTAGGTCCGTATCAGCGCTTTTTGCAAAGCCGTAGATGTGTTTAGCAGTTTCATGTGTAAGTCATGGACTTTAGACCAAAAAGTGACCAAAGGTTTGCTACTTTACGAAAACGACACTAAAAAGAAGTGTTCGCGTAAATGGTCAATCCGCCGTGGATTTACCTGAGCATTTGCGAAGAATTTTGCATAGAGATGTAGCTCACGGCAACTATTGCCCTCATGCGACTACCTAGCAAAAACAGTTTCAAACCCTATTCAAACTTGCATTCGTTCTCTTGCGAAAAGTTACATCCACGCGAAATCACCGATCTTACATAAAAACAAGCTTTTCAAATGAATAGTTGTTTACATTTTCTTCGCGATAGTCAGCATTGCGCGGTGAATTTCAAAGCCATTATTAGGCGAGAATAAGTAAGGCATATAGAGTAGATCCAGTGCGAGCCTCTGCGAAGCAGAGGTGACGCACTGATTATATAATAACTCTAATAGATTTGTCAACTGGATACGACTCGAAAGTGAAAGCAAATTTGAAGTCATTCCTGCCTTTTTCTCCCACCCCGTTCCATATCTAATCGTCTGATTTGTATTTCATTTTTGAGGTGGTGCATCGTTTACGATGTATTTAATAAATAAATAAATAAGTATAGAGGCGCGCATATGTCATCAAATGCCCCGATTTTCTCAACTTTTCAAAAAATTTCACCTAAAAGACTGGGATTTGGCACAGGAGGGATGGAGGTAAGCGAGCATGCTAATTACGAAAACATTACTAGGGGATGGGCAGAGACGGTTTGCCAGCTAAACAATCTTTTGCTACTCTAACGCAGTGCTACACTTCTTCGAGAATTATTGGAGATGTCTTTAGTTTGTAAAATGGGCAATTTTTCGTCGCCGATTGCTGATACATTGACACCCCGACATCGATATGTTGCTGGCAGTAGCCCATCGCCAATGTTTGCCGCTGCATTTTCGAATAATGTAGATTGGACACGTGTAACTGATTTGACAACATAACAACTAAAACTGCCAGCTAATAATAACTTTATGTGTACTCCGGCCAGCTTGCCATAGGTTATGTCGAATCGACGACGCACGGACTGCTTAGGCTTTGCGGAATTGCGCGGCGACTGTTGCGAGAAAGAATTCTCGACCCGACAACTCTACTGGCAGTTTGCCTTTAGTCAAACGTTTCAGCTTGCTGCACATACTCCTCAGTGATGTTCATTCGTGCGGTCAAAGACTCGGCGATACTCGGTAACACTCCTGCAGCACGCAATTGGCTTAATGCTTCTCATTTCGCACATGGGCAGTAGTGTTCTACGCACACATGTGAGCAAAATGACAGTGGAAATTTCTAAGTAAATGCTACTGCATGACGAAGGCGCAAAAGCAGTATCAGTTGAGACGGCGCGAACGCGACTGTATCTTCACCGTTGTAAATTCTGCGCCTCATGCGGTCTGCGGCTAGTAAAGCCACGTTCGCTCCCAAAAACATTGCGCCTTTGTCATGCAGCAGCCATACACCTCGAGAGAAGAGAATGTATGAAACGTCCACGATTCATATACAGTCAATCTAATGAACGCAATCTTGAAAATCCTAAGGCTGGATGTCTGGTGATTATCAGAGGAAAAAAATGAAAGACCATCAAACTTGAACGTTCTCTTCCCTAGATGAAAAAAATTTATAGCATTGAAAGGCTTTATAAGTGACGAGTACTTTTCTGAACGATGAGACACGCTGATTTTGCACATGAATACTGAGAGAAATTTTTTGAAAACTCAAATCTTAACTGCACAGGAAAAGAATCAACAAAATTAGAAGTTTTGAGCACTAGTGCACTTACTCCACAAGCTGTTGTCGTAGATTGCTTGCATTTAGGATAGAGAAATCATAGGGCAACAAAATCAAAAAAGAGAAAGAAGTTAGAAATCTTGGAAGCAGGGATGAGAGTCGAATTGAACAGCTCAAAAGCGCGCTGGGGTTGCGTCGAAAGTACCTGTGTGAAGCAGGCCATACACCATATTTGAAGTTCAATCACATACATTAGCGACTAATGAGATAACAACGACTTGCACGCTAGTCCCCAATACTGCTTGTTGTTCTAGTGGACAAACGATGGATCCTTTCGCTCAATAAGCTACGTACACTTACCGCGATGCATCATCCCTCGAAATCGTGAAAAGCCAAATAAATGAGATTCATCGGACCGAGTTTTCGTTGTTGATTCGGTATTGTCACTTTCTTCTTCCATCTATAAAATTATGTTTTACACCGACAATGAGTGAGATCTGCGTCGTTGACGCACTTTGTCCAACCACGCAATAAGACATATAATTTCCAAATGAGATGCTCTCATCAAAACTCTTCAATCACATTTGAGGTAAACATCGCGCAAAAGATGCGGAAACGTAAAACCTTGTAAAGCCAACTCACAAACAATGTCTTAGTAAACGACCATCTGTGATGAGATAATATTGCTGAAGTGCGTTGAATGCGATCTCAAAACTACAATCCTTGTCTGGGGAACACATTTTTGAAAATTTCGTAAGCATGACCCCGTTGACACTCAACCTCTTAAAGGCAGCGTACACCCGGAATCTAAGTTACCCAGTCCTCTATACCGTGTACATCCAGCGCCCAGAAGAAGATCAACTGCGTTAGTCCGGTCTCCCAATGTTGCTTCTGAGCTGGGCAGCTTAGATTTTGAGAGAAGAAACACCTGATTTTTTTCACTCCGTCCCTTTCCTTTCACTCCGCCTCCTTCAGACAACGAATCCACGACAACATACGCTGCAGTGGCAGTTGCAATTGCAGGCTGTCATGCAGTTGCAGCTATTCTTTGCTGGCATGCCAACGGGGTCGAGCAATTCGAAACTCATCTTCCCTTTGAAGAGAGGGTCCCCGGGAATTGGGTTTTGAGACTTTTGAGGATTTTAATGTCGTAACTGCAATCAGGAGCACCTAAAGGCTTCAGAATGACAAAAACGTCGAAGGCAAAATTTCGGGTGTACGCAGCCTTTAAGGGAGCACTGCAGTATGTGCTATCAAGGTGAGCTGGTGCAACGTGAGTGCGCTCGTTTGAAGCAAAGGGTTGCTTGTTTGAATCATTTCTGAAGAAGCTATTTTGCATTTTTTTTTCTGATGCCAGAGTCTTTTCCGAAAGAGCGTCCCGCAGATAAAGTAGATTTGAGATTAGCATACAACAGCGATTCTGACAATATCTAACTCTTCTCGAATAGCCACTTCGACTAAAAGTGCTCTCGGCAGACATTCCTGAGACGTTCGCGATTAATTCCTGTCTTGAATACCACATGTTCCAACAAAATAACTGCGAAGCACAGGGACTGTTTGCGAAAGAACTAGGGGATTGTATTTGATATTGAATCTGAGGCTAAATTTACCTTAATTTACCTTACCTTAAATTTAACTCATATTCACCTTTTACCTCAAGTATCCATGCTGTTCCATGTGTCTTGAGCGATCGGAACTATCCAAAGTACCTTGAAAGCAATGTCCGAACGAAAGCTCGGTTTTTGCCTTTTTCGCTTATCAGAGCCTATCCACTTTGTTAAGTTAAAGTTCACCTAAAAAACGCGAAAGCGGCCTTAACAAAGTTTCCCAAAGCCATTTGGTTTGATTTTGGACAGCGGAGCAGTTCGGCCAACGCTAAAACGCAGAATGCTGTAGGACTTCACCATCTTAACTGTATGGCATGTGCACTCCAGCTGCATTTCAAAAATGCAGGTAGGAGAAGCTTTCCCTTAGGCGTAAGTTCTCCCAACTTCCCAAACGGACTCCTTCTGGTTCAACATTGAGACTTCGCACTTGTGCGAGAGCGTCTTTAAGTACTGCCCTTCATCTGGCAAAGTCCTTGAAAAGATTGTCAAAGAGATGCTGTTTGAGCTTTTTTTCATTAAAACCAAATTATCCCATCCGCTCAACACGGTTTCGCCCCAACAGATTCTACCGTTACTTTACTTCGCGATGCAGCTTTTTATTGGAGTGATACCTTGAATTATGATAAATCCATGGACATTCTATTTTTCAATCCATTCAAAGCTTCTGACAATTTATATCACTCAAATACACACTGAAAACTTGATAATCATTTGCACACAATTATTCTCTTTTTTTTACATTGGTGGCCTTTCAAACGTGATTGCCTGATTGATTCTTCTGTTAGCGCAATATGCTCATACTGGAGTTCGAGTCATGCACATCGTTCGTCTTAAGAGAGGATCCTTAGGATAAATGCGAAAATTATGATTGATGCCCTGCATGCCCATGATCGCTCCATCATTTGACATTTTCTTGAAGGTTTTCGATGATGATGGTGCTTGAAACAGCCGTTCGAATAATTAGAAGATCCAGTCTTTCCTCCTTGAGGTCCTCCTTCCCGCTCGTCAGGGTCCTCAACGGACTCATTCGTTAAGCTTTGAGTTGATCAGCCAAGCCCTGGTAGGTTATGTATTCATTTATACAGTGCGTTTAGGTAAGGGACCAGGACCTCGGTTGAGAAGTCCTCGCCCTCTGGCGAACGAGAACGACTTACACTAGTTAATGACTGAGATATTATTCAGTGAAACTATATTCTTTTCTCTCTCTGTTTGCTGCACCAAAGTAGTAGCATTTGTAAAATGAACGATATGTAATTTGTTGAAAGTTTTGTCCAGTACTGAGTGTTTTGCGAGGTGCTCAAAGGTAGTGTCCGGACTAGATGGAGGCTCTGAATTTCACCGTCACGCAAAAGCAGCCGCCGTGACGTACCCACCAAGCGGGCACATTTCATGGAACCGAAGGCAAGAAAAATGCCTGGAAGTTCAGAGAGTTACGTCGGAAACCACGCCCACCGAGGGCTTAATAGATAGATTTAAGTGCGCATATCACACACTGTCGACATTTAAGCTCTTTCAACTTTGCGAACACACACATACGCATACACATACACTCACACATACACATACGCATACACATACACATATACATATGTCATATACATATACACACAGCCATACCCATACACATACACATGCACATACACAAACAATACCACCCACATAACTTGCAAAATTTCCGAAAATTCCGCGAAATTCCCGAAAATACGCGGAACTTCGTGACATTCCCGGAAATTTTTCACATTCTTGAGCGGTATTGTATCTGGCTGATAAACCGACAATGCGGTTTCTCATCTGCTGCTAGCGTATAACGTTAAAAACGCGATGTAACTTTTTTCATCCAAACCTTCATGCTGAAGTGATCTCTAGGCTTTTATACAGTTATGACAATGCCATATATTCGAATGCGTGTGTGAAGCAAATCTTATAATTTCCGCACAGATGGATTACTTGAGTTGCTAACAGCATTTCTTACATTGTTTTTCTGCTACTGGCACATTGTAGGATATAATATCTGCCAAATTTGGCGACTTTCGACTTTGAGAGACAATACATGAGAAAGCGATTTTGTAACACAGATAAAGATTTGTGCTAAGCATGGCCCGGTAGAGCTGTCCACAAAGTCTTGAACTCACAGAAATTTGGAGACAATTCCCGCAAAAGATAGGCGAAAAGTGCAGGCGAAGTTGCGATTTTGATCGGTTCAGCTACTTGTATCTCACTTTGGCTTCACTGTAAGACTCTCTAGTGCAAAATAACTTGGATTTTCGTAAAGATCGGGACCAAAAACCACTTCAAGCGAAGCTGTCGGTCGATCCGAAAACCTCAATATTTTGACCAAATCCTGCGCCGAGGCCAAGAGTGAGGAGCGAGAAAAAAATCAGGTGCTACTAACTCCTTAGTAAATTGGACCATAGATGTCATCCGACCCGTCGATTGCAAAAACACATCTAATTCGCAAGATAGCTTCTTTTTTGTAGGACTACGGTGGATAGATTTTAGAGAAATGTGGATTCCTTCGAAATTTGCTAGCCATTTTCGCTTCCACTCAGAAGAATTTTTGCGTTTTGTTTAGCGCTTGAAAAACTTGGAAAGGTGCTCTGTCGAATGGTATCAACCAGAGATTTTTATCCCCATTAAGTATTAAGTTGTACCCTTACAAAAAAAACTCTTCGCAGAACATAACTGAAGATTTTAGATAAACGCAAAATGACCTTTCATCACACTCCTACAGTATTAATGTTAAGTACCATCAGCAAAAGTACAATTGTAAGTGAGTACCTTAGCAGTGTTAGCCGGGTTTATCACTTTTGTCAACGATATGATCAACTTATTGACAAACTAGCCGGCTTACCCGGCTCCTAATGGCCCTGTCAAAACACTATGATAAAGCCCACGTCTACATGCCAACTCCCTATTCCCGCTGTGTTAGTTATCAGCATGCTCACTTATCCGTGTGCAAATTCCCAGCTCCGTAGCTCAAACTTTGCAAAAAATCGATAAAATCGATAAAAGTAGCGGATTCCAAAAACTAATATTGTATTCGTAATCAGCATGCTCGATTACACTCCTGTGCCAACTCCCAGCTCCGTAGCTGCAAAAAATCGATAAAAATCGATAAAATCGAAATCGATCGATGACGAAAAGTGGCCTTTGACACCCGCCCGGAAAGTGTAAGTGTGCCAAGTTTGGTCCGGATCGGTTCAGAAATGAAATTTCCTATGCGGCGTACATACAGATAGACAGACATACAGACAAACAGATATTCAGCCTTATATAGAAGATTTTGAAATCTAATAATTTTCGGTAGCGCCGCTAGCTGGTTGCAGCTATAGCTTTGTAAGTTTTTTCCTTCCAAGAAAATGAAAGTATTTTAAAGGTGGGAGGAGAGTGCAGTTCACAGTCGAAAATCGTAGTTTCGCACAAATGTGTATGATTTCAAATCTGCAATTCGCCCACTTTGATGCTAAGAAGGCATTTCAAAAACAGTATGGTAGTGTTTCAAAATTCGAAAACGAAAAACATTGATGAGGTTCCTGTTCCTTACAAGTGAGCGGGGCCTACAGTTCACAGTCGAGACTGTGTAAAGTCGCATAAACTCGTAAAAATTCGAAAATGTTCAGCTCAGCCAAATTTGATGTTAGAAAGGTCGGAGAAATTTATGGTAGTGTTTTCAATGTAGACCACGATAAGCAGTTGGTGATTTTCTAAGTGGAAGTGGGCGGAGCATAAAGTTGACTGTCAAGATTTCAAAACTGCATAAAGCATAAATTTGTTACATTCCCGCTTATTTGGACGGTAAGAAAGCCAAATAAAGGCGATAAAATCGATGCTCTGAAGGTTCCGAAACCTCCAAAATCGATAAAATTGGTATCTTGCAGGTAATATCAATGACTCCGATGGCATCAATCACAGCCAAATTTGTTGCCCGAGAACGGGTCGCAAAATTTTTGAAAGTTACTTACATGAGTTACAAAATTGTGCAAATGACTGTTCATACTTGTAAATAATTGGAATATTTTTGAAAATTTTTGAAAATTCATTTCTCCTCATAAAAAAAATTTTGTTTGGAAGCGTGCTACACATACACATACACATAGACATACACATACACACGTAACTCTCAGCTTGTGTGATGATGTTTTGCAGTCAACGACCCAAATGATTGAGATTTTCGCCTCAATGTTTTTAATAAACTTGGGCACTCAAAATTTTACCACCTTTTTTCGGTTCAAAATCTTCGAAATCTCCAGTTGATGAGTCGCATAAGGCAAGCGTCTGAGAATAACACAGAAACATAGTTGCGTTAATAAAGTTTTTATTGCAGCTGTAATTAGTAAGGCCACAATTTCGAAAGAAGGTAGCATTTTTGAGAGTAAACTGGAAGAATTGTATGAAATGCGTATGTTCTGCATGATATCATGTTGTATTAATCTCCTTGAAGTGCTTTTGTCAACGGCGGAAACCAGTCGATTGTTCCGTACCAATGCAATGTGACTATTAGAGAAGCTGCGGATGTGAGCAACAGGATCACTAGGATGATCGCAACGGCGCACATGATCAAGGTCTGCAAAAATATTTTCATGGTAAACACAACGTCTATTTCAACCTGTTTTGCTTATTAATCCTCTATGAGTCTCATGCAAATCCTTTTAGTGAACAATTACAGTTACACCAAAATGTTAGGTTGGTTCAAAAGAACTATCGCATTGTATTCAAAAAACCGTAAGTTTATAAAGGTAAAAATGAGGAAGAAATTTGCTTGATTCTTAATTTCTCAAATATAAGGGTCTCTTTGGTCAACAGAACTACTGAAATTTGTGAAATTGAGAGAAAATTACGATGTTTTAGGGTAGCACGACGACGAAATTTCCGGGCTTAGCAAAAATTGAAAACTGTGTGTACATGCTTCTACCTTTTTTGTTGATCGCTCCGACTTGCTTTTGGTCTGATTGACTTCCTTGCCTGCTTTCCCGATAGGCACTATTTTTGCTGCAACAGAGAATTTGGTGTCAGATACTCGTTTGCTGGATGATAGCTACATCAGAACTCAAGAGGAGCTATTAATTTTTGCATTCCCTGCTCCATATCTCCTTATGGACAGGGTCCAGGTAAATCGGCGCATGTTTTTCTGGCCTGTAAATTGATGAGGGGGTCCTAACTAAGGCACTGCACAAGGGGCAGCGCAGATAGTTCGTTCACGGCTGAGAAATCCGTCCCGAAAACCACGCACCTGCGCCGTGACCGTAACCCGAAAACGATTTCGCTCACATTAACATTACGTTCATGCTGGGACCCAAGCTAAGGTGACGGTCACGGCGCAGCCGCGGAATGTTTGGGGACGGATTTCTCAGCCGTGAATGAATAATTTGCGCTGCGGTTTGGGTAATGCCTTAGCTGGAACCTCCTCATCACTTTCCAGGCAAAAAACCCGGATTTGCCTGGATACTGCTTTTATAAAATCATACGATCAACTACTTCATAGGTTTGCTGAAGACGTCCACTCCGACGTCTACAGGAGGATGCTTATTAGCAACAGTATAATTGCTGCTGGCAAAACTTATGTTGTTTTAGAAATTTTGTTACAGCTTGAAAGAAGGCTTGTCTGCTCTACTCTGAAAGCATGATTCGAGCAGAGCAGTTGAACGAAAAGAAACCTGGAGTCATCAAAAGTCTTTTTTCTTCTTCCGTTTAGCATAGGGGATCGTTTATTAGGAAATTTGATTCAAATGTCTCAATTTGCCATCAACCAAGTTGGTGGATATTCGGTATTTAGAGTTAGACTAGGTTTCAATGATCTTCGTTGCTTTGAACAGAAGTTACAAGGTGTTTTGTGTGGAAACCTGTGAACTGAAGAAAACTGTCTGCACCCCCTTCTAATAAGCCCTCTGTTCCATGAAACCCAAACAGACCATATGTAGATAGTTTTGGAAAGCAGAGGAAGAAACATCTCGATGACATTTTCGCTGACCACCTGACTACATCGTTGTATTTATGATGGTCGCTGTCTCGGGTGGTCTTCTATACAAGCTGCAATTCTGATTTGATTTTTCAATGTTATTTATAGACATAAGGTAGAAAACTCAAAAATTGTGAGAATGTCAGCTTTTTCGACCTTTCTTTTTGATTATTAATGTCCAGAGTTAAAAATATTTCAATTTTTCAAAATTAACCAGTGGTAATTTTTTGTATACATAAATGTCAAAAAGATGCTTTAGTTTTTCTCTACAAAAACGAACAGGTCTTCGGTGATCGCTTGAAAAAAGTTTTTGATCTATAGAAGCAGCAACTATTGATCACTATTAATCATTTAGACTCAATTTCTCAAACTATTAGGTCGGTCCAAAATTTTGTCAGTTTCTTGAAATGACCCTCAAATCCCGTACATATTCCAAGTTGTATCCGATGCAGAATTTCTTCCTCTTTTGAGATTCTATATTTCCAGTGTGACTCGTTGAAAGAATGCTGGAATAATTGCTGGAGATCACAACCCTTCGTTTACCATGTCTAATTTCGCTAGTTCTCAAAATTTTAGTATGAGACTTCTGGGAAGTTTCGATCAGTAATAGGTAGGGAAAACATTTTGCCAAATGAATTTTTTACTTTTTTCAGCAACTCTTATACAGTTTTTTAAAATATTTTTCCAAAAGCTTGAGGTTTGAAAGTCACTGTTTTTGCACCAAACACTGCAGAATTTGCAGATTAATGAGATCTCTAGAACCCTAATTACTATTGCTGACCTTACAAAGTATTAAGATGATTATCGATTCAAAAGATGAAATTTTTGAAGTAGGGTACTCAGTGCGCATTCGTGAAATAAATTCAGTGTTTCTGCAAATCGCGTATCTCACCAGAAAGAATAGCTCATAGAAAGAGGAGAAGAAGTTACGTCGAATGGTACTTAAACAGCTTACCATTTCATATTGTACGAGGTCAGAATGGGCGGATAAAGTATGGTCATTTCAAAAAATTTATTTCAAAAATTCTGAAAGACAAGCCACAGAGCTACAAAAATTTGCTACATTTGGCAAAAGGTTTTTCCTGCCTGCTAGTTATTAAAGCTTCTCCAAAATTCTCGTATGAAATTTTTTAAAATTATGAAATTTGAACATGGTGAAAACGATGGATTTTAATCTCCAGCAATTAGCTCAGCACCTTTACAACGAATCACACTGGGAATGAAGCACTGAAAGAAAAAAAATCTGCATCGAATACATCCCAAAACATTTGTTTACGCTCACTGTATGGGATTCGAGGGTCATTTCAATAAACTGACAAAACTTTCGGACCGACCTAACATAAAATTTTGATGTTAGGCGGTAACCTTCACCGCCTCTGAAAATGTGTTGTACTCACACTGACGTGCTGCCCCAGCAGCCGGCTTTCCTGTTGCTCCTGCTGTCTTTGTCTCTGCTCCCGTCTTGGTCTGATCCAAGCTATCTAAAATCTTAGATAAGCTGCTGAAAATTTCTTTACAATCTTTCTTGCGTAAATCCTCTGCGTTCAATGTAATAATGATGAATATGCAAATTGCTTGTTGTACTAACCAGTTGGGGAGTGCTTTCAACTCTGACTTATCGAATACGGGAAATTGCGAAACCTTTCCGGGCTAATGCTTGTGTCAGTGCAGCTTTTCTTATAATAAGCTGCGCATAACGTTCTACTCATGGTGACAAGTGAAATAACTAATCTGATTGCATTTTTAACAATTAACGCGAAAGCGCTGATTTTCGAAATCCACGGATAATCTACTCGGCTGTTGATTGCAGGAAGGCAAATTTGTACCATTCGAAAAGTCTAAAATCAGCAGTGTTTATTTTGAATGGATGTGGTTCAAGCAATGTAACAACAATGAAGTGACAGAAACAGATAAATGTCTTGAAAGAGGAACGCGATGTATTCTATAGTTTGAAATGGAACCAAGCGAAGCCGAACAGGCACTAACTTCCAGTACAAACGGTTGTATACCTTTGATTCAACTGGCTTGGCGGCTGGAAGGCGCGGTTTTGTGGCCTAATTAAAGCTAATTAATGGTTAGAAAGCACGCGCGCGAAAGAGACGCAGACTGCGTCGTAGGTGCGAGCGGCCTTGATTAGGTCACAAAGCCCGCCTTCTAGTAGCCAAGCCAGTTGAATCAAAGCTTAAAAAACACAAAGTTTTGCTTTCTCTTACAGACAAAAAGAGTTTCTATGTGCAGCTTGAATAACACAAAAAGGCGCATACTCGGGATTTCGAGATTGTGGTATGATGAAACCAGCCCTCGATAGATTAGTTTTACCTGCTTGATAAGAAGCAATAAGCCTAACACAAAAGTAGCCGATTATCCAGAAGAAAATGCAAAACGACGTGGGTAAAGCCGACGAAAAATGCTTGGAAAACCCCGCAAAGACTTCAAATTACCTTTTCCTTTCAAGTCTTCAGCTTCCGAATTCAAGTTCACGTCATCACCTTCCCTGAAAAGGAATTAGCTTTCAACAGTCTCTCTTTCAAAACAAAACTAATAAAGTTCCTACAGTACAGTTGATCAATTAATCAGTTTATCAATTGATCTGGCAATCCTTGAGCACTTGCGTTTTGATGTCAAAATTCATGTGTCCAATTTTTCGAACTCACTTCGTATTTATGTTTTCCGTTTCTTTTTTTCGTTCTTCTCCCTCTTTCCCAATACTTTCTTGGGACGCCTATGATTTGATGAAAACAGGAGCGCCGCTACTGTTATACACCGCTTTTTTCAAAAAGTGAAAAAAAATCGTGCAGACTGATCTCTTGTTTGCACTGTTTGTTTTTATTTCTAGTTACAAGCCCATTGAGATTCGTTCTATTGATGGAAACTTGAACCGAAAGATACAAACTCTTCTCGCTATGGCCTGCTGCTTCAGCGTAGAGGTGACATCAGGTATCGAACTGCAACAATAACCATGTCAGGTTGCGCAGGGGGCCAGCTGCATCAAACGAGAACGACACGTCTGCGATGAATGGAAACTGTCTCATGCTCTGCAGCCACAATTCAGGACATTTCCCACAAACGCTAACCTCCATGCCCTTCTCGACGCTGCAGAGAACCGCAATCGCTTTACAAGGAACGAAAACCAGGAAGCAAAAGGCGCCTGCTGACTGATGGAACCCTCATCATGTGACGAAGAAGTTCCATCACAAAACGTTGGAACTGTTCACTTCGTGTTTACCACCCCAACTACGTCCTCCACTTCAGGAGGCAATCAGCATTATTAACTGCTCTCTCCGGCATCAGCAGCTGAAGCAAAAGGACTGAATGTCTCTACGAAGAAATGGAGGAGGTCGTCAGCGAGAAGTCCTTCCACAAATGCATTGTGGACCACTTCAAGGTGAAAGAAGGAATGTTACTAAGACAGAATTGTAGGATAGCAAAGTTTAGATGTGGGCTCCGAAAACAAAATAGCCACCGTCTTTTGGCCTTCTCTCCGCCGCATGACTTCTCCATGAAAACTCCGTTTCTTGAAAAACAGCCCGTAGACTTGATAATGGCCCAAAGCGGATTTACGCGGAGATTGACCACATCCTCCCAACAGGTGGACGCTTACAAAATGTTTCAGTAGTTCCATCCTTTTGCAATGGCTCCGACCATCGCCTTCTTCGAGCGGAAGTAAGTTCATTCAAAAGCTGGGAAAGAAAGTCTACCACAGGTTCGCTTTAAAAAGAGGCGTCCATGACGGTTGCAGGTGGAGAGGAGCTCAGATCAAGTTGTGACTCATCGAAGGAAATTCAACGTATGACCACGACCAGCTCCTGAAAGAATTGTGAAAGCCTGCAAAAAATGTGACTCAACGACTGACGGGAAAAACTTGGAACTATCTCGATATATACAATAAGTAATGCCAAAAAATAAAAGCCCTGAGGCAAGGTTGGAAAGCAACTTATCTCGAGAGGCTGAGAGCTAATGCAGAACAGCTTTGCAGGAGGATCTTTGAAAGAAAAGGTAAGCGAAGATAATGGGGCAGTTGGAAGAAGGCGAACTCTTAGGTGCCGTAGAAACCTCTGCGAATAGTACGCCTAACAGTAGTACTAAAAAAAGAAGGGACCTTTACTTTTCCCCGGCATAAAATGGAATTAGTTGCGAGAGCTTCTACACCAACTCCTTCCGCTTATCAACATCCGTTCTTACGCCAGTTGTTCCCACAAGAGTCGCAACACCCTTGAAGAACTGCGCACCGATCCAGGCTATGAAGACGTCCCCAGTCCTAGACCAGATCCTGGCTCTTAGTTGAGCTTCTGCCGAAGAACAGTCTCTACGCGAAATTGTCGCTTCGCATCTAACGTCTTACCTCCAAAAGTAAAGGGTGGGGAACAGCAATCCTTCTCTTCAAAAGGCGAACGGTGGGATCTGAGGAACTACCGTGGATTATGCCTGCTGAGTGTGCTGCAAGCCCTTTACGGAAATAACCGCGCTCGCCCATCGAGACACTGCATAAAGCCCAGTCTCAAGGACGAGCTGAATTTTGCAAAGGGTCAAGCTGCACAGAGCACATTCAGATTGTTTTCACTCAAAGAGGTCTGTCGGGATTACCGCATGCCTCTCTCCTAATCGTCGATTGCAAAAAGCTTTTTGACAGCGTCGAAAGCGCCACCTCGCTGCGTTAGTTAATCAAGCAATGGACCAGCTTACGTTAACACGTTTCGGACCGCAAAATCGCGCGCGGCGAAAAAGAGTGTGCTTTCGGCCGTTGGCCAACAAAGGGACCTTATTTCACAGACTGTGTGCTACATCTAATCAGCATGTCAGATAAGCTCCATACCCAAAGTTCTGAGTGAATTCGAAGTGTTTGAATGCTGTTGTTTGAGAAGGACTTTTGTGCTTTCTTGAAAGATAGGAACAAGGACTCAGTTTCTAATGGTACCCAAAAGTATCTATGTTGTACACAGTACACATCATTACTGAAACTACGGTTTTTTCTTTTTGAAATAGAAGCGAAGAAAAGTTGCGACGTCGCACGCGTCGTTCGCGTTGCCGCACTTCGTTGCAACTGTTGTTCGATTTGCCTTCATCTTATATATAAAGCTGAATGTCTGTTTGTATGTATGTCTGTCTGTCTATATGTCTGTCTGTGTGTACGTATGTTCCGAATAGAAAATTCCATTTCTGAACCGATCCGGACCAAACTTGGCACACATACACTTCGGGCCCCGGCGGGTGTCATAGGCTACTTTTCGTATCGATCGATGTCGATTTTATCGACTTTTTGCAAAATTTGAGCTACGGGGCTGGAAGTTGGCACAGGGGGGTAAGTGAGCACGGGGATTCCGAATACAATATTAGTTTTTAAAATCGTGCATTACTTTTATCGATTTTATCGATTTTTTTGCAAAGTTTGAGCTACGGGGCTGGGATTTGGCACAGGGGGGTAATCGAGCATGCTGATCACACGCCGGGGCCCGAAGTGTATGTGTGCCAAGTTTGGTTCGGATCGGTTGAGAAATGGAATTTTCTATTCGGAACATACGGCGGAGCCGGGTATGCCAGCTAGTATCTCCTAAAAAAATATCGGCGGCACAGCTCTACAGAGTCATTTGAAAAGTAGGAGCATAGGCCTTTGACTTGATAACCCTGCACAAAAAGAAAACCTCACGTTGACAAGAGTCTTCAAAGGTACGTGCTGCACCATGTGTAGCACCGGTCCGAACGTGTTAAGACAAGTCGACTGCTACAAGGACTGTACAATGAGTGACGATGCAGCTATTACCCTCCCCCCCCCTCCCTTATTGGGAAGGGAGCCATCTTTGGGCGATAAAGTCACTGAAATGCAGCGAGAGAGTCCTACGAGCTATTGGGAGATTTCTTTCGAATCTTCGTTCGGAGGCGCCATTAGTTTCTTTTCGAGCAGTATCACAGATGCTGATTCGGGAAGAAGGTGTGATTGCGAATAAATCTAAAGCAGACCCAGTAATGACACCCTCTATGAGGATGCGGAAATGGGACTGAAATCCCTTTATTATGGAGACGTCTTCTTACGTGTATCGTGGACGCTCGCTAAACATAGAGAATGGCGTCCCACCAAATTGGTGGGTACCTGGCTCTGGTATCAGTGTATTAGTACACCCCTGACTAAGCGACGACAGAAGTTTGCAGCGCGAAAGGGATCTACGAAGTCTACAAATCGCCCCCCCCCCCCAAGTGGCCCGAATCTTATTGTAGGCCCGAACGCCGCCCACAAATAGATTTCGAACTGCAAGACCAGAGCAAGCATACACCGTCAAGAGCGCAGGGTCCTGCAACGACTCTGCGTCTCTACCTTGCATCCACCTCGTACTCATTCGAGCCTACCGTAAGATCCGCGCTACTTTCGGGGCAAATTTCAAGTTTGGTAGATCCTCTTTTCCGCTCCGAACTTCAGTCATCGCCTAGGCCGATCTTTTCGCCAAGACGCTGTCTTTAAGAGAAAAATTTAACAGGAGAAGAAGAGCAGTCTGGGCCATTGGCCCTCTGAACGAAGCCATCAACCAACTGAAGGATTTGGAGCCTTTAGCCCACCTTTGATGTTACGTTCTTCCGGCGTTCTGTTACGCACCAAACGTGAACCAATACTATAGTCACGTCGACTTCGCAAGCTCCACAAAGCGATTGCCTTTCAAAGAATACTCAACATGAGAAACACCTCGTCTACTCTAGTATAAAACTTATAATATGCCGCTAATTTGTCGGTCTGTAAGTCTGTCTGTTACGAAATTACAGTGAGGAATAATTTACGGTACTAAACACCGTGTGAGGTTCACATAGCGAGTATGGTTCATTTTTAACTACCTCTCACGTTGCAGTCAATCGAACAATGATTTGAGAGACAAGCTCTCAGAGAGTGAGTTTACCACGGTTCATGATGGCCAATGCAAATCTTTGCGAAGCACTGGCCCTTGGTACTCAAAATTCCAAAGTCGTGAATATTGCTCAGACTCGGTCTAAGGGGGTCATTCGACTCGCTCGTGCCGAATATCATGGTTTTTTGTGCGGTAGCGCCATTTTTCGGGGCTACCGCGGGTATTCGGTAGCGGATCAAAATCGCGAATTTGCTCCAAATTTGTTATGAAGAAGGGGGTTTCTTGTCACGCCGAACATGTTATCATGATGATTATTCAGGAACGGCCATTTTCTTGCAACCTGTGTCAAACACAGCAACAATTAGCATTTTTCTTGGGTCAATTTTGATACAGAAAAATTTGGTAAAAACTTAATCATGTGAAATTAACACAATTCGTGATCAGAACATCAGATAACTTCACAGCCCCAAGATTAGCAATCTATGACTTTGACACTCACCATAACTCACCGAAATGTATGTCCCAAAACGTGATGTGAGTATGGTTTTTGTGGTCAGCACGTTGAATACCTCTCTAAACGAATTTTCAGCCAAATCTATGATTTTGTCCCCTTATGTGTTCCTACCGTGACCCCAAAAAATATCGTTTTACCTAGCAAAACGATTGTCATACTTGGCATCAGTGGGCCGAATAATTCCTTTAAAACGGGTGTGAGCGAAATCCGCGATTTTGAAACAATGAGGCCCAGATACTCGAATGGAGCCAAATTTTAATGTGATCTTGCGGTTGGAATTAATTCTGGATTACAAAATGAAAGTACAAACGAAAAAATAAAGCCAAATGTACAAATATTTATAAGCAGTTTGAGAAGTACATTATGTGCTCAAGTGGGAGGATGCATGAATCGCCGCAGAAGTATGCCTATGTACAAGCGACTAGCGATTTAATCGTCGCGTTCGTCGCTATCTGCAGCAAATCGCAGCGACTAAAAATTGCGGCGTGAAATCGCGTGATGTATGTTCGGCCCTTAAGGCTTTGGGCAGAGTTCACGCGATTTCATCGCCGCGATTCTCCCAACAAGGCAAACAGTTACAAGTCTATTGCATGTCGATATCTTGCATTTCGGTTGTGATAGTTCTCCAACATGATCAATCGTGACTAATTAACAACCGAAATGCAAGATGATCGGCATGTCATGGACTCGTAACTGTTGGTCTTAAGGGCCGGGCATACTTCACGCGATTTCAGTCGCGACGCGATTTGGCAATTTGCCAGAAGTCTTCAGATCCAACAATAGCAAACTGCGCATGCATAATGTGTATAACTAACTTAGATTGATAAAAAAAATTGCTAAATTTGCTTACAATGAGTTATGGACACTTGGAATATTGCCAAATCGCGTCGCGACTGAAATCGCATGAAGTATGCCCGGCCCTTTATTGGGGGAATCGCTGCGATGTAATCGCGTGAACCCGCCCGAGGACTAATTTTGTTCAGCTAGTGAGCGTTTCTTTGGAGAGCTAAGCCTTAGAGGATTCTTGGTGAAAATGGTTCTACACTATCAGCTTACATATATACCTCAACGGCTCCATTGCTTGAAACCCTTCAAAAGGCTGCTTCGATTTAGATGTTGCCGCTCCCGACGGAGGCTTTTGCATGGTTTACTTTGTAATATTCTAAGCTGTTCTGAAATGAAAGTGTCAGTATCTTATTCAAAGAGTACAAGCTGTAACCTATCAGAATTACTACTCTAAGATATGCCTTATGGATATCGACTTTGTTACCACGATGTTGGACGAGCTCCAAAGAGGATGTCAACAATTACAGAGTCAAGTCGAATCAGCGGCCTTGCAGTGTCGTGTGAGTAGAACAAATGAACAACATCAAGAACTTGGTAGACTTTGCATCATATGGATGCAGATGATAGCCTGTTTACTTGCCGTAATGCAATAACAAGTTCATTTTAGAGGTTCATAAGTAATTCAGCCCCGACGAGCGGCTCGTTCTTTCTGTGCTCAACCTGTCGCAACTTTTTTTGATCTTGACTATACTTCAAAGTGCAAGAATATGCGCTTAACTGCAAATGACTACCACAGCCGTGTCTAAGTGAGGACCAGGATCAAGCAAAGGGTGTAGCAGACGATCGCTGGTTACGACCCCTCCCTCCTGATTGCTGTCTTGATAAGCCCCCCCCCTCCCCTGAATTATATACCTAAGATAGCATTACCTGCCTGTCAAACATAATGGACAACATATCCATAATTAGCATGTCAATTAACCCCTGTAGACCCCCTCCCCTTTTCAATCCTCAATATGACTCCCCAGGTGTGGCGTGCCACACCCCACACATGACCCTGGTGGGGACTCCACCTGAGAAGCTTAAGAGGTTTATTTGTATTTCGGACTATTGGCGTTCAATTGCGAATGATCAAAGCCTAATTTTCTTCAACGTTTGCAACTCTGTGGGCATACCATAGCAAAAACATAACAAGACGCTTGAACACAGAAAGCCTTTACTTTTGATACGATTTGGATGAAGCAATCCCTATATTGTCGCTCACAGAATGTGCATAATTTCCATAAATGTCGTGGACTTCTGGGAGTGTAGCGGACATCCGCCAAAATTCCGCGACATTCACGGAATTTTTGCACATCTTTGAGCCGCATTGTAGATTGTGAAAAGCTACGATTTTTGAATGCAGAACATGTATGACAATCTCAGCTTGGAACTATGAAGAGCAGGAAATTTTTGGTATGGCTTGACTGCGATTACCATTAGCTCATATCTAATTTACATAAAACAGAAACAAAAATCTATTTTTTGACCCGATGATCTAATGACCCTCTTGACCCTGTTTGACCCTGGCGAAGATACTCCTCATAAAAAATGCTCCGCGTCGCATGCACTTTGAAATTGGACCAGCAATGAAAAGTGAATACATTTGTTTAGCGCTAAGAATCTAGCACTAGCAGCAAGCTGCAACCACCGGAAAGGCGCCGTGTTGTTTACGCTGCCATCTTGCTGAAATTTACTATGTAACAAAAGTTTTAGGTGCTAGCACTAAGTGGAATTAGTAGCTAAATTGTTTTTTTTTTCCATTTCTCCCGCTGCACTCTTGAAGCTTATCCCTACCACCGCTGGTAATAGGTGTTTTTCGTGTACATCGCCGGACACAAGAAGTAAACGCATTTTGTGTCGCGTGGACTTTGAAATTGGCAAGTAAGTCTGTGTCAGTGCGTATTAGTCTTTTCTAAAGATACAAAAATTCGCGCGTCTGCTTTGCATTTGTGCCCGAAAGGACTTATTGATCTGTTTGGTAAGATATGTTATCGCACGTGGTGCTAGACCTTGCAGAGATGAAGCGCGAGTTTAGGCATACGGTGGAAAGAAGGCATGACGCGTTGACACAAACTAAATACTGGATCCTAGACAATGAGAATTTGCCAAACTCCAGTCGTTTATAGTAAACTACAGTTGGTAAGTAGTGTTGATGAACATACATTGCTTGAAACCATTCTGCCTAAATTTCTTGATTCTCCCACAGACATACGCCTTTAAAGGCAGTGGCTAGCGAAAATTGCGACTGCGGCTTTCGAAAACTACTTGACCATTTGGATCCGCTGACAGAATTGGACTTGAAAGTCAAAAAAAATGCTTTTCACGACGTCTCCCGGCCTTGAAGACTGCTGAGAGGGTTAGAAGAGAGTGTCGCGGATTCGCGACTTCCTTTAAAGGCAGCGTACACCCAAAACAAATGCAACAGATGTTGCAACAGCAACTGCAACTGCAATTGCAGCTTACGCTGCTATGGATTCGTCCGGAGGAGGCGGAGCGAAAGAAAAGGGGCGGCATGAAAGAAAATTGAGGGGGTTTTCTCCGCTCAGAAGCAACATTGGGAGACCGGACCAACGCAGTTGGTCTTCTTCTGGGCCCAGTATATACACGGTGTAGAAAGATCTTGGAAATTAGGTAACTCAAATTTTGGGTGTACGCTGCCTTTAAACGAGGCCGCCGTCGCGCTGCGAAGGGTCCCAAAACGCCGTCCTCGCGCTGTCCCGCCTCTCACCTCTCTACCTGCGCAGTTTTCAAATGCCACGTAATCAGTCTTCACTGCTGTCGCCATCGTGAACGGTCGGGTTCCAATTTCGCTACATCTACGCCATGGAGGACAGGCAAACCCGCAGTCGAGGTAACCCCGTGCGCGCTCGCGCCTGGCATACGTCGGCGACACCGCCAAGGGGGGTTTCCGATACGGTTGGCCACTAAGGTTTTGACAGCTGGCTGGTTTTTTCATTCCCCAGTGTTTGAGTGTAGGGACTGCGTTAAGGATAAATGGTGGGTACATGACGTTAAGGATAAATGACGTGGGGAGCTGGGGGCCTAATCCGCGACAGAGACACTTCCGCCAAAAATAGCCCCTGCTGCGCAGATACTGTAACTCCACCCATTTTGGCGGCCATTGCCTGATGGCCTAGGCAGCTAACGGCGCCTCAGTTGGAGGGAATCGCTCGTCCAGCCCCTCTATCAATCAGCCCTGAAAACACCATGAGCAGCAGTTATTTACTTTTCTAGCACAGTCCTGGACTCAACGTATCCAAAAGGCCAAGAAGGGAGATGAATAGTCGCATATGCAGTTTTCGCGAGCTATTGCCTTTGATGTCAGTTTGAACTGCATATGGGCCTGTATATCCTAAGCAACAGACCCAGAAAAGGTCAAAATTCGTTCGAATAAACTTATACATGCTTAGCTTTCTTTATTGGTGCATTTGCACTCATTACAAGAGATCTCGCAGTCTTTTATTTCTGTCATAGTTTTCAAAATGCGTGTCAAAGTGCTATTTAGTGCGTGATAGACTTACTATGAGTGCATAACATGCTCTAAGTCATATCAATTGTCAGACAACGAAATATTAGCAAAAGCAGGGTGCTGTCAAGTAATGCTTGACTGCAATCAACTTCATCTATCAAATTTCGCAAAGATCGGTGTTGTTTTCAAACTGACAAGCAAAATAATATGTCCTTGCACAGTTGATGTCGTTCCACGTGCCGTCCCCGTTGATCTGAAGTTCTTCATGAAATACACATCGTTAGTATCTTTAACTACGAAAGGTCATTTCCAGTTTTATGATTCATTATTTTGATATCTGTAAGGTTATCCATTAAATTTTCTTTGATTCAAAAATCTCAATCATACACACTTACCCAGTGGCGTACCCAGAATTTCTGTTCGAAGGGTGGGGGGGGAGGGGGAGGTAGAAATTTTTTCTGATGAAGGTGCTGGCGTCAGCCACGCACTCCGAAAAATTTTTTGGTATGGTTCCTAAAATTTCGTGCAAGCCTTCAATGGGTTTGACCTGCCACTTATGTGGTTACACAACTTTTCACTCGGATATACTGACCCAATTTTGAAACCTTATAGGTGCCTTGTCGACAAAGATCAAATTCATAATTCAAAGTTGAAAAGTTATCGAACAATTCAATATACAGAGTGTCCCAAAAAGATGTACACACTGTTTGATCGTTAATAACTCTCTTGCTTTCATGTTTTTTGCCGAGCTTGAGGTGCCATTCTGTGGAGCGAGGACAAACTTAGATTTACTGTATGGAGCGAATTACTAATTACTCTTTGTTACTGTAGGATCACGGTATGAACTTTTAGCATACAGCGTCGCTGTGGAATAGGCCTTTTGATGAAATAATCTCGAAAAAATCTAAAAATTTGTGTAGTAAGGTTTTCAGGCGTGCTGATTTCACTACATAACTTTCCACCAGTTTTTCGAGCTTTCTTGATGGCGTATTCACATTTCTGACAAACATTGGAAAATTAGTTGTCACCCTAAATTTGAAATAACTCGTGAAAGAAACAGTGCACTGATGTGCAATTTTCATATTTAGAATCAGCAACTTCATTAACCCAGTTCAAGAGTTACTGGCTTCTTTGGCTTTCTTTCTAAGGCAAAATACCGCTTTTAATGGCTTAAAACCCTCCTCAAATTAGTACCGTAATCCCACAGTAATGAAGAGATGCTGATAAGTCGCTCCATACAGGAAATCTAAGTTTATCCTCGCTCTACAGAATGGTACTTCAAGCTCGGCAAAAAAAATGAAAGCAAGAGAGTTATTAACGATCAAACAGTGAGCACATCTTTTTGGGACACTTTGTATATCCAGTTATCTATATGCCAGTGCGTCACCTCTGCTTCGCAGAGGTTCGCACTGGCTCTACTATCTATGTGCCTTACTCATTCTCGTAAAATCGTGGCACTGGAACTCACCGCGCTATGCCGACTACCACGAATAAAATGTAAACAACCACTCATTTAGAAAGTCTTTTCACGTAAGATCGGTGATTTCGCGTGGATGAAACTTTTCGCAGGAAGACAAACGCAAATTTGAATAGGTTTTTGGATTTGTCATGGCTTGGTCGCCATGAAGGTAATAGTAACCGTTAGGCACATCTCTGTGCGAAAATCTTCTCAAACGCTTAGCTAGAACCTTGGCAAATTGATCATTTACACAACCAATTCGTTTTGGCGCCGTTTTCGTTATGTAGTAAACTTTCGACCACTTTTCTGGCTAAAATCCATCGCTTGCAAATTTGCTTACCAAACTCATCCACGACTCTGCAAGAAGTGGTGATAGGGACCGAATTTTGCGGTACAGAAGCCAGGTGGATCCGTTTGGCGCGCAATTTCTGAGGGATCCACTCAACCAATCTACTCGTGCTTTTGCATATTGGACTTTCATGAAGGTAGCATGCGCTATACAAAATTTGGGCTTAGAACTCTGGCTGGAACACGCTCCACGAATTTCGTAACAGACACACACACACACAAAGTCACGTAAACATCCTTAGCCCGTTATTATAAGTCAT